GATCCTCAGCCACCCCCATCACGTGCAGGTGCCGCCTTAACGTGTTATGGCCAGACAACAGTCCCACCAGCAACCTTAGGTTGGCTCTACCCAGAGATAGGCAGAAGCGTCCATCCTTAGCACTGGGCCCTTCAATGAGCTCTCGTGCCTGGCGGAGATGTCTAGAGATACTTCTCCATTTCTGAGAGTGTTGTCTTGCAACCCACGTCTCCATTTTCCTCCTAGCTTTATGCGCGGTTACTCCTAGAGCTGGCTCAGGACCAACGAGCTTGCTGGCTGATCCTGTTTTCGCCAGAGTGTCCGCCGTCTCATTACCCCTTATCCCAGCGTGCCCCGGTACCCATATTAACGATACCGGATGCCTCGCTGCGAGGCAATCCAGAGCCTCCCTGCATTGCAATACAAGACTCGAAGTAATCTTACATGCACTTAGTGCTTTCATTGCAGCCTGGCTGTCGGATAAGATTGTTATTCTTCTCCTAGGCCCACCCTCCTCCAGAATGTGAGATACACAAGCCAGAATCGCAAAGATTTCCGCCTGGAAAATGGTGGTGTACTCACCGAGAGGCAGAGATAGCCTAGTTCTAGGTCCAGAGACCCCAGCACCTGAGCCCTCTTCGGTGACCGAGCCGTCCGTGTACCAGACCTGCCCGCTCACTTCGGAGAGTCCTCGGCTACCGGCGTCCCACTCCTCCCTCGTTGGGTACTCCACAATGAACTTGCGGTTGAAGCGATATTTAGGGGTAATACGATCACCCCTGCTTAGAAGGACGGGGTCCTCCCTATCTAATTCGACTAATATGGCAGTATGCCCCTTGACCGGATTCAAGAAAGCCCAGCTGCCCTGACTCCACAGTCGATGAGCGACTACTCTCGCTTCACCGCGGATCACCAGATCCAACGGTGGGAGATCCAACAGAGCTTCCATTGCACTCAATGGCGTTGTTCGCACTGCGCTTGTAATGCTAATACAGGCCAAACGCTGAATTTTATTGAGTTTGGCCTTAGTTGACTCAGTTCTAATGCAAGGCCACCAGACCAGGGAGCCGTACAAGAGAGATGGACGTACTATCGTCGTGTAGAGCCAGTATACCACTTTGGGTTTAAGCCCCCACCTTACACCGACAACACGTCTACAAGCCCACATCGAATTGCGAGCCTTGCTAACCTTGTGTTCCACATGCTCTCTCCAGTTCAGTTTGGAGTCCAGGATAATTCCCAGATATTTCACTGACTGGGACAAAACTAATCTAGTCCCAAAGAAGGTAGGCATGACCAGTCCGTCAAGCCTTCTTCTCCTAGTGAATAGGATCAGCTCGGTCTTTTCAGCATTAACAGAAAGATCGACTTCCCTACACCACGATTCCACGGAGCGCAGAGCGCCCTGCATAATTTCCGAGACTGTTCTACAGAAACGCCCCCTAACCACTATGCTTACGTCATCAGCATAGGCTTGCACGTAGACACCCATACTGTTGAGCCTAACGAGCAGTTCGTTCACCACGATACACCACAGTAGGGGTGACAGAACTCCACCCTGAGGGCAGCCTCTAGCTACGTTCACGCTGCAGCTTACGTTATTCAGCATAGCTGTTGTTACCCGACCCTCCAGAGTAGAGAGGACCCAATCTATTAGGATTGATCCAACCCCGTGTCTAACCAAGGCCTGTCTGATAGAGTCGGTTGTGGTGCAATTAAATGCACCTTCAATATCTAAGAAGGCCACGAGTGCCACTTCTCGCTGATCTAGAGTCTTCTCCAGCCTCCCAACCAGATTGTGTAAGGCCAGATCAGTCGATTTTCCAGCTTGGTATGCAAACTGATTTGCATGAATGACACACCTTTCCAGTGGGCCATCCCTTAGGTATCTATCAACTATCCTTTCCAGGGTCTTAAGCACAAAAGATGAAAGAGTAATCGGTCGAAAATCCTTCGGGCCAGTATATCTATCTCTGCCCGGTTTAGGAATGAATACCACTTTAGCCTGCCGCCAACTTCTAGGTGTGAAGCCCGTGGCCACACATGCTCGAAACACATTCAACAGGTAAGGAACAACCGAAATCCGTCCCTGCTGTAACATGGCCGGAAATACGCCGTCCAGACCTGGACTTTTGTATGGGGCAAACGAATCTACTGCCCATACCGTCCTTTCGAAGGTGACAATCTCCCTTGCCGTGCGCCAGTCCTCCCTTGAGGGCCTGCGCAACTGCATGCACTCTGTGATTGATCGCGCTACTGTGGAACCGGGAAAGTGCGTATCCATCAGAAGCCTCAGAGTATCTTCCTCGGAAGTAGTGTTCCCTCCCGAGGGATCATGCAGAGATCCCAATCTTGCTTTAGTGTCTTTGCATGGTGTACTAGGTGTAATCTAATACTTCGAACTGACAAGGGCCGTTTGAACCAACTACATAAATATTAGGCTAACATCGACAACTACAGTTGAAACCAAATAGTTTATGCTTGAATGATGACTTACCGGCTTCCAATCGGTAGATAAGCGAATCCAGGCTGCTTAGATATTTCAGTTACATGAAAATTTAGTTAATTTTGTATACCAGCTAGAGCAGTTAATTATCTTTACATAAACACATTAATTTTTACATCTCAGGACACGAAGCAATGAAATAATCGCATTAACTATGCCATCTCGGCATTATACTGTCTCTATGTTACATAAAAAAATATATTTGCAATCAAGTACATACGTCAGCTCTTGAGCTTATTAACTACGATTTGAGCATTAAACATTGTTATAATGAGTGCAGAGCATCAAGATACCCAGAAACATTTTGCAACACTTCCATAAATTCACTCTTGGTGTTGTTCTAGGTACCACCTCTAAACCAGTTACAACATTTATATCCTTTTTGCGTTTCTATTGCCTTCGAAAGATATAGCCACAATTCAGATAAAAAATATCCATCACAAGTGCCAGTTTTTGCGTCAAGGGCAAACCGCCCGCTACGGAAGCCAGCCCGTGACATTTTTAGATAAGTCCGTTACATAGAGGTGTTTTGCCACTAACTAGCTTTTATTTAAAGAAAGACCGTTCCTGTTTATATTATTTTGAAGGACGAACTCTCATCTAGAGAAGACATTTCTCAGAATTTTCACTTTTCTAGTCAGAGAATTATGAGAAATTTTCGAGATTTTTTTTTATCAGTCGGCGACGTCTTTTCGTACAAAATCTTCATATTAAGAAAATACAATTAAACTAAATCGTGATTCATCAAAACTAGATGAGAAAAATGTGCTAAATTCGTCGCAGATAAAATTATTGCTGTATCTCTTGCTACGTTAACCAGTATGACAGAAAATGTCGAAAGACAACACGTGACTGTTAGTCCGTGACATGTAGTCTTGCCTCGGAAAATAATAAATACACGAAAGTATTTTTTATTATGTATTATTTATAGTCTCAGTGACAGTTATTTGCTACCCTCATAACTTTTACACAGCTTCCCTGGAAAGGACCTGGCATAATGGACACTGGAGGACAAATGAATGGGTGATGCAGATTTTCTGACCGAAAAAAAAAAGATGACATACTAGGATCAAACTTTTCATAAGTCTGGAAAAGCAGGAAAATATTGACTAGGTATAGGTGGAAAATGAAATCATTGCAGACGCTGTCGTAGTTGCAATAATAGATCAGAAAATTTACTTCGAGGGATACTTATTTGGTGCTCCTCCATTCTTATTCCAAAAGTCTCATTTTCATTCAGTGTTAGTTTTTTTTATATTCTGCCTCTAAGAACTAGTAGACTGCGAACTGAAAAACACGTTCGGATTTTTTTTTGTGGTGGGGGTCCGGACCCCCAGAATACCCCGTGGATCTGCTCCTGCTATTTACAGCTGATTCGCATTGCGATTAATGGATGCACGTTTCACCAGACTTCCCTGACCTTTACATTACTGCTTATGACGATACTTGACAAGAATTTCTGCCTGGGAATATCTGGTAGGCACTCCACTTTCCGATTTTGTTTCTTTATATCTGAAGGCGGAATGACTAATACCCTCCCTCTCTTCCCGCCGTACTGTTTTATTAGCTAGCAGTTACATCAGAGCAATGCGGAACCGCTTTGTCTCTTAATCAATTAGAACATTAATCTTTTATTATGATTTTAATGAGGAAATAATGCATGATTTCGAAACAGATTCAGATATTATGAATTATCCAGTTTTTTTATTTGATCAAAACCAAGAGCCCGTTCGGTCCTTTCTCATGTTGTTATTCTTTATTCTTTGTTCATAATAGCAGTAGGTACTTGGCCCGGTAGTAGGCTAATGTTTCGCTACGAGCACACAAGGATTCTATAAAGACTGGGGCCTCCCAACGAGACATATCTTTGTAGAAATATTTGGCCACTACAGCCTAGTCATCACGAACAAATTGCAGTACATGGGCCGGCTATATGACTCGGCTATATAAGCTATTTTTCGGTTATGTCTTTGCAATATTATCTGCAATATGTGGACACGTGCACAGGTCGATTTGCAGATTGTCATGGTGAGAAACAAAACAGTATAACCACACAACCAACCCCGCCAGAGACATGAATCGTGATGGCGGCGTAGTGACAGATTGGTCAAGAGTGTCTGAGGTTGAACGGAGTCATGTGACAGAATGCGCGGACATGATGCGCAATCGGTGCTAACTTTAAAAATTACCCTTTTAGAGGCTCCATAATAATGTCCCCATGGTATCGAAAAAGAAGAGAGCAGCAAAACACATCGCACGCTGTGGCAGGACTTTGAGCTGACAAGGTCGTTGCACGCGCATACTGCCGTATTCAAATATAAGCCGCGATTGCAGTGGCTTTCTTCCTTTTCGGTGCCCGAGTATAGACCAATTCGCGACATTGTAAATATGTGTAACGGCGACTAGTGACAATGAAAAGCTAGAAAGGCGACTATGTGACATTTGGATGAAGACGTCGTTCTGTTTTATCAAGATTCCAAATTTGCGAAAGGTTTTTTTTTGGATGATAGTTAACGCAAACACTAGATCTTATGTATATCAAGATTAATTGATGGCATTCTTTTTGTAAAACAATTAAAAGCAAAACGATACTAACCTGAGGTCTAAAGGTCGACGGTGCGCTTGTTGATGCGCCGCCATTATCATCCATTGGAGCCTGTAACACCAAATACTAATTAGTAAAAATCTAGAATATCTTCACAGCACTCAAGACGGATAGATTATGGCACAATGTATGTACTAGTAAATGGGGAATATCTAGGAAATAAATCCCGTTGAGTGGATTCTATTCAAAGGGCCTTGAAGGTAAGGAGGGGGGGGGGGTTATCGGCCTTTTCACTTTTTCTAATCTTACCTAGCTAGACTTGTTGTGTACAAAAATACGTGCTCCTTCCCTTTTTTGATTTACTTAGGTGCTTCAGAAGCTGTTTATTGAATCACGAAGATTTTTTGCATTTTTCAAATATCTCAGCTGCATTAGAAAATTGCGCGAAAGGTCTTTGAAACGCGCATGAAAAATTTATTTTTCAATTTTTTTTGCAGGAAATTCATTTTTTAAGACTTAAATGTTTGTGATATTCTTTCAACAAGACTCATTGACCCACGTTATGACGAGAACATAAATATATATCATGTGTCTTTAGTAGGTCTACGTCATGAATTTTTTCATAGTTTTTGAGGGGGTTATAGGGCAAAATATTAAGAAACTAGTTTTTATTCGCTATTTTTTAGGAAACACTTTATTATTTTATTTTTCTGAAGAATAGAGGTTTCGGATAACTATTGCACTGGAAAGATTTAATATAAACTAGTAAAACATTTTTTTTTTAAATAGAGTCAAGTTTGATTTACACCGCATCAACACACCAGCTCCCGAATACAAATTAGCGATTCCGAGTTCAAATACTTGATTTGCCGGAAGCATCCAATACATTATTACCACACACAAAATTATACAGGAAGTGCTTGAATAATTATTTGTTTTGACCTTTAATTAATGCTCTAATTAGTCATTTTAAATTCATATATCAGTTCATTTAGGCAATGCGAACTGAAAAAGACAATTTACTAAAAATGTAGGATCCACTCATCTACTTCTTCGTCATTGGCTTTCATATAGAGTAATTACAAATGTAGACAGCAATTTAAAGCGCGTACCATAAAACATCAGTTTTACTACTATTTTATGTCTTTGTACAGCGATACTTCACATTTTTAAATTTATTTATTGTTAAGCTTTCATCAACGAATGATATCGAAATTAATTGGCTCATTAACGTCACAGGTTGATTTGAAGTTGCTTGCTGTACGCAGTAGGTAATAATGCAATACAATGTAAACAATCATGTAAATGCACCTCATCGAAGCTTTACCATGTGACAATTATCTTTATGGAAACATGCCGAATATTTTTCCTACTACTAGGTAACAATAACTATACACCTTTCTTGTGACAGTAATGAATAATATAAGATTGCATAATAGGAACTTCCTTTTTGATGATTCCAGCAATTAGGCTCGTTTGATGAGACATAACCCTCCCTCATTGATGTTGTCTGTTAAAAGGTGAAGCCAATTCTAAAAAATTAACAGTTAACCGCTGACTATACATATGACTAAAAATGGCATCAAGTAAGTTGGCTCTGTTCTTTCCACGTAACGCTGTCATCATTTCGTAAAGGATTGTTTGACACAAGTTAGGCCTTCTGAGAAAAAGGTTTACTACGAACATGTACAGCAAAAAAATGGACCTTCCTCCTCGCTTTCACATGAATTGTTGCAGGCGCACATGATCGTTGGGTTGACCAATTCCGCGTGAATGACGATATTGGCCTTCATCATGCACAGTGCACAGTGCACACAGCCGTGCGGAAGCGATTATTTTAAGGGTAAATGTACGGGAACATCTATGGTGAGTAAAATATGTCTAACAGGTGCATATAATATCTGTACCCCAGAGCCAGACTAGGCTAAGTCCATGTTTGTCAAAAATGAGTTTAATATGTTACTCTTATGATAATATTGTGTATTTTCATTTGCTACATGCAGCGTCCATCTATCTTTAATAATAAGGAAGTTACGACTTTTTAACTCATCAAGTCGTATTCAATACAATGCAAAATAAATATTTCATATATAATTATCTCAAAACTACTTATTTGGACTTAACCTAGTCTGGCTCTGAGGCGCAATTTTTAACCCCTACAACTGTTCTTTTCCGAAAATGATCAGGATCCTCCGGAATTTAAAAAAATAATTTTTATTTTTTTTTATTGGCCTTTTTCTCCCCGCCACTGGATCAGTTTAAAAAAAAACAACACAGCTTCTTCGCCATAGGCATAGTAGTAACACTGCGTAAAAATTTCATAAAAATCCGAGCTGTACTTATCAAGTTATAGGTAGTTATAGGATTAGCGGACACACAGACAGAGAGGCAGAAAGACGGAAATGAGTGCTATGGGTGTGGTGTACATGTCATATAACATCCAAAAAACATAATACCTCTTTTTCGAAATTTTTCTTGACTACAAAACTTTCCCGCAAGTAGGGTAAGAAGTAAAAATGACCTCAGAGGTCAACTTTGTGGGTTGAAATTGCAAGTTAACTGTACGATTGTGGGAGAACAGAACACAAACTTGCTGCAAACTGCATCAGTATAATATAAATAATGTGTCATCCTTTCTGTTCTGATAGCACCTCTCTAGATACCATCTTTATGTTTCAGTCTTAGCGGAAGTGTCGGTAACATTTATTCCATAGGTAATTAGCTTTGATAGAAGAAAAGTTCATGTCAATCTGGGCAGCATGGTAAGTAGTCAACATTCTTGCACCTGGATTTCATCTATTTTATTCTATCGAAACCACTAATAGCTTTCTCATTGCATCAATTCATAAGACATGGCCGCTGCTATTTTATTAATGAAAGACAATACGTCGTGATTTGGAGATAATGGTATAAGCATGCTAATAGTATCGTATTTCGTAGATTAATTTTATGATTTCGAAATAGCTAATTACGATGCCTCCATGGCGTACCTGCACCATTTATCATAAAGTTCAGAACGTTGGAAACTATGTTAATCATCATTACATGAATACGTACATACAAACACACTACAGAAGAATGATATTTTTGTTCCCGTCACAATTCTGAATGGTTACATGTCGGCTGATATTATGAAAGTTAATTTATAGGTACGGCAAGCTGATCACTGTGAAAACGTAATTTAACAGCGGGTTGAAAGAACGTTTTTTTTTTCTCTGACATTTGCCCTGGCTAAAATAAAGGCCACAAATGTTAAAAAAAAGCCAAAATGATATGATAAATTAAATTTGAAAATTAAAAGGAGGTTAAACTACGTTTTAGCTTGGGCGGTTGGCAGGAAAAAGTCCCTGGAATTTCATAATGTTTGCGACCAACTATTTTGACAGTTCCCAGATGGTCAGCGGTAGCAGAAGTGGAATGGTAACAATTCTTAATACACGATAATAGTCGCAATTTCCCTGAGAAGCGCACTTTTTCCGTCAACTAGGAGGATTAAATTAGTGGAGAGTGTCCAAAATCATACTCTACAATTTTGCTGTTGATTTAAAAACTATGAATGATAGCTGAATGTATGTTTTTAAGACATGTATTAGTTACTGTGTAATGTTAAGCATCATTTGCTTTATGCCTGTATAGTTAGTATAGTTTAAAATTATTAATATAGTAATTTTAAGAAAAAAGTTAGGTGCTCTAATAAAAATTGTCAATCATCAATCAAGATTTCATTCTTAAGCAAGACTCCAGAATATCTTTAAATCATATGCAAGCTACAAAAAATGCAAACCTGTACTTTTTCTGCTTCCTGTCTTGCATCCCAGCTTGTTATTCCAGAACACATCAATATCAATCGTCACCAAAAGCACTTAACAATCTCGGTAACAGTGAAAGGGGCCAAGACCACCATAATATGGGTTTCAGAATTCTCACCCACCATTCCTTCGAAGGACGAATGAGTGAATGGAGAGAAAATATTATCGTGCATCACTGTTGGATCGTTTTGCAGGAAAACAGGAACCAGCACGGCGGGAGTATACCTGGAAGGCAAGCGCGTCCACGATAGCTTCGTATCACATTTTTGATGCTCCAGTGTTTAGCAATATTTGTGATTTGCGACAGAACAGAAAAACGAACGATATTTTTAACTATAAACGCTAAGTTTTCAGAACAAAAAATGGCGTCAAGAAGATTGACTCTATACTTCCAACGCCTTCGTTGGACGTTTCAAAGAAAAGGGATTAGTCAAGTGGTTTGAAAACGCAGAAACTAATCGTGACTAGATAAGTTTCCTAAGGTACGTTCAGTCTTCGACCTCTACATATCAAATTATATAAACATAATTTCAGTTTTCATGGCAGATATAGGGAAAACATGTGTGACTTATTATGTATAACAGGTGCATAATATTACCGGGATCAGCAGCTTCTTAATAATAAGAAGGTCTTTCACTGACACCAAACATGCAACAATTTACAACCATTTACCGCATACAGCTTGCATCCTACAATATCCAACCCCTACAAACAATGTCTGAAAATGAGCAGGAATCTCTGAAACGCTATAATACTATGTTCCAGGGATTGTTATTCTTTTGTCCGTAGTTCCGCCGTCACTGAATCAATTTTCAAAATCTACGACTACATAAACCTAAAAGATAGTATTGAACGATAATCTTCGAACTTCAGTTCGTAAGTCTTCTGTTGCTTAAAGATATCTGCATCACGCAAGTTCGCGTTTTTCGAATGGATCTTTGAGTATGATCCCGAGACAAAGAGGCAATCTTCCGAGTGGCACACGACGGCGTCTCCTCGCCCAAGAAAGGGAAGAATGAGCAAATCCAAAGTGAAAACGATGCTCATTGTCTTTTTTGACGTCAAAGACATCGTCCACCATGAATTTGTTCCTCCTGGACAAACCGTCAACGCCAAGTTTTACGTGGAAGTGCTCAGGAGACTCAAACGAAGGGTCAGTCGGGTCCGACAAGACATCGCAGCCGACTGGAAGTTGCACCACGACAACGCCCTGGCTCACACCGCCTTTCTTGTGAACAGCTACCTGACCAAGGCCGGCATCCCAACGCTTCCGCAGCCGCCCTACAGCCCAGATGT